GAAAGAGCATGCTAAGCTGTGAGAGAGGAGGCTATTGGGCTAACAGCTTTGTGGCTCAAAGTGGTAGAGTGCTGGCCTTGAGGGAAAAAACTCAAGGACAGTACCCAGGCCCTGAGTTCAAGCTCCATGACCACCAAAGCTGAAAGTGGAGCTGTGGCTTAAGTGGTAGAACACTAACCGTGAGCAAAAGTTCAGGGACAGCACCTTGGCCCTGAGTTTAAGTTCAGGACTGGCATGCACACACGCATAAACACACATATATATACAAATCATACAGAGCTTGACATGGTGGTGTGCACCTGTAATCCCGGCATTCAGGACATTGAGGCAGGACATTCAAAGCCAGCCTGAGTTATATAGCAAGACATCAATCTAAAACAAAAAATCTTTTAGCTGGGTGCCAGTGGCTCATACCTGAGGTCTGACGATTGTGGTTGGAGCCAGCCTGAGTAGGAAAAACTGTGAGACTCTCATCTCCAATTGACCATCAGAAAACTGGAAGTGGTGCTGTGGCTTAAGTGTTAGAGCACAAGCCTTGAGTGAAAGAAGCTCAGGAAGGAGGAGAAAGTAGAGATGAAAAGGAAGCAGAAAAGAAGAGAGGAGAAGGAGCACAAGAAGAAAAGGAAGAGATACTTCAAATAGCTGGCATGTTAGATGTGAGTTGCTACCGTTCTTTCTGTTTTCCACTCCTACTTCACTGCCTGGTATCAAATGCCAGAGACACTGCCTACCAAAATAGAGATGTGTGTGTGTGTGTGTGTGTGTGTGTGTGTGTGTGTGTGTGTGTGTGTGTGTGTGTGTGTGTGTGTGCGCGCGCGCACGCAGCTGGTGACCTATAGTAGAAAATACGTGCTAAGGAGGGCTAGGAAGTTGGCTCAGTGGTAGAGCGCTTGCCTTGCATGCCTGAGGCCCTGGGTTCGATTCCTCAGCACCACATAAGCAAAAAGAAAAAAGCCGGAAGTGGCGTTGTGGCTCAAGTGGTAGAGTGCTAGCCTTGAGCTGAAGAGCTGAGGGACAGCCCCCAGGCCCAGAGTTCAGGCCCCACGACCGGACCCAAAAAAAAAAAAAAAAAGAAAAGAAAAGAAAATACTTGCTAAGGAATGATGAAACAGGTTTCCAGGGAGCCAACATGGTTTTGGTCTCTGGCAACAAAATGAAGCAAGGGTACCTGTACGGCACTGACCAGGCTGCTAGCTGCCTTTGCACTCACTCAACTGGAACCAGAGACACTATTAATGATGATAGGAAGGGTTGTCTATTTAGCGATGAACAAACTACGTAGTGCAAGTATTCTTCCATCCTGCCTTCTCCATGCTGGCATTGTGATTTAAAGAAAAGATTGCTGCAGCTGTTTTCATATTCTACAAGTGTGTGTGCCTGTGTGTGGTTTTGTGTTTATAGATTTGGGGTTGTGGAGGGGAGTTTCCCAAGTAACGGAAGTAGCTGCTTGTCAGTCAAGGCTCATTTTGAAAATGAAAGCCTGAAATTTGGGGGCCTACTCTGGACCTGGGCCGGGTCTCTCAGGAGTCCACAAAGACCACAAGGGAGTTTTGGCTACTGGGCTCAAGGAAGATGCCACATAATCAGTTTTCTTTTCTATTTTTTTTTTCAGTTGTGGGGCTGGAACTCAGGGCCTGGGCATTGTCCCTGTGCTCTTTCGCTCAAGGCTAGCACTCTACCACTTTGAGCCACAGCGCCACTTCTGGTTTTCTGGTAGTTAAATAGAGATAGAATCCCATAGACTTTCCTGCCCAGCCTAGCTTTGAACCATGATCTTCAGATCTCAGCCTCCTGAGTAGCTAAGATTACAGGCATGAGCCACTGATGCCTGGCTTTCCTTTAATTTTATCAACTGGCCAACTCAATGAGTTGCTTTTAGGGTCCTAGAAATTTGGTCTAGAGTAGGGATATGAAATTTGGCATGGAGACACACAAACATACGTCCACACTCACATACACACTTATTAATTTTCTTAGGCTACCATACCAGAATAAAGTAAAAACTATTTATTTTGCATGTAGTAGGTACACAAAGGGGTATGATATAGTTATCCAAGAATTATTAAGTCCAATCTGGCTGGACTAAATAGGAAGTTGACTAGAGCAGGTAGAATACTAAGTATGATCTTTATTATCTTTTATTTTGGGTGGTAGTGGAGTTTTGAACTCAGGCCCTTAATGATTGATAGGTAGGTACTCCACTGCTCAGCCATACTCCCACTTCTTTTTTTGCCCTAGTTGTTTGTTTTGTGTGTGTGTATGTGTGTGTGTGTGTGTGTATGTGACAGTCCTGGGGTTTAAACATAGGGCCGGAGCACTGTCCCTGAGCTTCTTCACTCAAGGTCAGCATTCTACCACTTGAGCTACAGCTCCATTTCTGGATTTTAGTAGTTAATTGGAGATAAGAGTCTCGTGGGCTTTCCCACCCAGGCTGGCTTTGAACTGTGATCCTCAGATCTTGCCTCCAAAGTAGCTAGGATTATAGGCATTAGCCACCAGCACCTAGCTTCTAGTTGTCTTTAAGACAGGATCTTGCTTCCTATCTTGGTGCATTCCTAGATCCTGACTGGCCTATTTTAGGCTTCCCTGGAGTTAATACAACAGGCAACAATGCCACACCTAGCTCTCCATTGAGAAGGGGGTCTCTTGAACTTTTCTGTTGGAGGTGGCCTTGAAACTCGATCCTCCCAATTTTACTCTCCCAAGTAACTAGGATTATAGGATTATAGGCTTGAACCACTGGCATCCAGCTTTTTTTTTGGGGGGGGGGGAGAAGGGAAGGGCAGTACTGGGGTTTGAACTTAAGGATTCACACTTGTTAGGAAAGCAAGCACTCTACCTGTTGAGCCACAGCCATAGCAAACAAGGTGGCCTTTGAGAAAAAAAGAATTGCACTTAACACAAAGGAGGGAGACTGTTCAACTAGACAAGGGTAAGTCTGAGATACTTTCTAGTTAAGGCATCTGTTTGGCTGCAATTTGGGGCTTGTGTATGATTTGCAGTTGGCAAACCTGGCTTGAAGGTCAGTCCTTCTCTGCCAGAACAAAGGCTACTGTATCACCAAGACCTGCTCTGCCACTTCCTGCTAGGTGACCTTGGGGAAGTGGTCTAACCTCTCTGCAAACTGAGTTACACTTAGTTGTTAAGGTCACCAGGAGGATTAAATGAGTTAGCGTATATAAAGCACATCTGGCACATAGTGACTGTTGTGAAGGAATGCTCACAATTTGAGAACCAAGGAGAAAAAAAATCTTGCCACCTTGCATTACAGGTGCCACTGCTGGGTCCAGTGGGCTGGTGTGCTATGAGGCACCATTCTGTGGTCTAGACTGCTGGTTCACTCTCCTGGGTTTTTGCCTCTCCCTTTTGCAGAATTATTTGAATAAAACCTTCATCATTACTTTGTTCCTAATTCTAGAGCCTTCTATGGCCTCCTGATGCCCCTAAACCAAACTCAGTAAAGAGGTGGTGAAAATTTCCATTTTTTGAAACAAGAGAACAACAAAAAGGCTTGTGTTTAGGGTAAAAAGATACAACTTCCCTCTGTGTTGTGTGTGTGTGTGTGTGTTGGTTCTGGGGCTTGAACTCAGGTCCTGGGCACTGGCCCTGAGCTTTTGTACACAAGGCTAGTGCTCTACCACTGGAGCCACAGGTTCAGTTCTGGCATCTTGGTGAGTAATTGGAGATAAGAGTCTTATGGATTTTCCTGCTGGGGCTGGTTTTGAACTGTGATCCTCAGATGTCCACCTCCTGAGTAGGAAGGATTACTGGTATTAGCCACTGGCACCGGGTAATAACTGCGTTAAAAAACAAACAAGAGGGCTGGAAAGGTGGCTCAGTGGTAGAGTGCTTGCCTTGCATGCATGAGGCCCTGGGTTCGATTCCTCAGCACCACATAAGCTGAAAAAAAAAAAGCCGGAAGTGGCACTGTGGCTCAAAGTGGTAAAGTGCTAGCCTTCCGCAAAAACAATGACAACACACACACAAAAATTAACTTTTACAAAACTCAATCCAAGCCCTACGATCGGCAAAAAAAAAAAAAAAGGTGAGAGCAAAGATCAATTACCTAGCTTGGATTCACCTGTAGCTACTTTTTCAAGCCAAACTTGGCTAATAAGCACACCAAGGCAGCAGAGAATAGAGCGGCCCCCAGCAGAGGAGCAGAGGAATAGCCCAGCCCGTTCCTATTTAGCTGGACAGGCTCAGGCTCTGGCGTGGCCGTTGGTCTGGAGTGTTTCTGTAAGGATCCCCGAACAGCCACCGGGTGCTGAGGAAAGGATCAAGGTCACTCAAAGGAAAGCGCAGTGGAGCCTGAGTCACTAGGGACGGCCAGATTGCCCGTGTGAAAGCTAAGAGCGGGACAAAGGCTGTTGGAGGCCAAAGTGCAGGACGATTCCTAAAGAGATAAGAGGGAAACCCGAAGGAAGGGGGTGGGGAGCGAGCGCCTCGGAGCTCAAAGATCGCGCTCGCAGAATGAGGTTTCGGTTGGAAGCCCAGCGCAGTCTCAGCCCCGCGAGGACTGTAGGGGGTGTGGGGGAGGCACCCTAGAGTCTGGGCTGCCCAGCAGCCGCTGGGATGCTGAGATCCCCCGTGGCCAGGGTAACCTCGGCCCAACCCCCTCGCCGTCTCCCGGCTGTCAGCGCCAGGCGGTGGGCGGGGCTTCCAAGCTCACCTGGCCGTTTGGGGCGGAGCCGCCCGAGGTGCCGGACGTGGGAGTACCGGTGGTCTCTCAGTCGCAGCAGCTGGAATCGGCTTTGAGGTTTTGGCTGAACCTCCCATTCCATCAAGCCCCCCTCCACCCCTCCACCCCCTGTTCGCCCTCGCCAGGCCCCTCCCCTAATTTACTCCCGTGCACGTCCTCTTCAGCTCCCTCCCTAGGAGCCTAAGTTACTCGAGCGTCTTCCTTCCCCACCGCCAGCGCCAGTTCCTGTCCCGATGGGGCTCGGGAAGGCCAACGATCGCTAGGCACTGGAACCACGCTGGTGACAGCCACCAAGACCATGGCCCAGTCCGGAGCCTCCGCGAACTCGGAGTCCAAGACCTTGCTCAAGCCAACTCCTAGGAGCCTGCGGGGCGCTCCGCAACTCCGTCCGTCCTTAGGGAACACCACTACCCTGGGCAGGTACTGGGGCCACGCCGCCGCTGTTTCCCGGGAGTCCTCCTTTCAGGGTTCACTGATGCTTCCCGGAGCCAGCTTCGCGCGCCGGCGAGAAACACTACGAGAACTGCTGGGGCTGCAGAGGATGGCTGCTCCCTCCAGGTGGCTATCGGTGGGGCACGCGAAGGAGCCATCCCCGCGTGGGTCTGGTGGGCTGAACGGCTCTAGTGGTGGCGGATTGTTGCTGGAGCCGCGAGAGCACGCGTGGATCCTGGCAGCCGCCGAGGGTCGTTTTGAAGTGCTGCAGGAGCTGCTGGAGGCTGAGCCCCGGCTGCTGCTGCGGGGCGATCCGATCACCGGCTACACCTTGCTGCACTGGCTGGCCAAACACGGCTACCACGAAGAAATGATTTTGGTATATGATTTTGCCAAACGCCAGGGACTGCCGCTTGACGTGAGCGCTACCGGCAGCGGTGGCTTCACACCGCTCCACCTGGCGGCTCTGCAGGGCCACGACATGGTCATCAAAGTGCTGGTAGGCGCCCTAGGTGCTGACCCCACGCGCCGTGACCATAGTGGCCACCGAGCCTGCCACTACTTGCGGCCTGACGCCCCTCAGAAGCTTCGGGAGCTGTCGGGGGCCGAGGATTGGGAGACCGAACAAGAAAAGAAGCGTGATCACAACGCCGGCCACAACAGCAGCAATACTACATCGGGGTGGATGCTCAAACGAACCCTGAGCATGCCTGCAGCATCGACGTCGACTAGAGCGGTGGCGGACACAGAGACCGAGGCAGAGGCGACGGCAGCAGCGGCACCGACAGCATCGATGGCACCGACAACTACGTCCAAAAAAAAGAAGACCACAGGCAGCCAGGAGACGTATATGAATAGATTTTTACGCCATTTGTTCCCTTTCTTCCAGGATCGCTGAGAAAAACTAAGGCTGGATTGCACAGAGGGGGCTGCGACACGATTGATCAGGCGTTTATCTTAAGGTTGTGTTGAGGTACAGATGGAGCGGTACCTCTGATTGGGTATGGATGCACAGAGCAACCATTCAAGAACCAGGTACCTGTCCCACTTCTCCGGCTGCCATCCCTTGAAAGGACTGAGAAGGACTTTGCTAACCGAGAGATGCCAAGTACCAAACTGGCTTGGCTACAAGACTGAGTTAGGAGCAGGGATTGTGATTTTCCTTGGGAGGGGGAAATGTGACGTTGCAGAACACATTTCTGGGGAGACAAAGTGCTATATTGATTAATAAACATTCATAGAACACTAAGATATCACTAACCCATTGGTGCTGAACAAATGTCTTAACTGCTTGCGAATTCTGCCCTTAACCAGTCTTCCCCCTTTCTGCTCACAGGCACCCACTGGCTACCTGAGCCTGAAACTACACAGATCTGTCCTATGCCTAGTCAAATGTGTCACAGATGACTTCTTATGTATATTAAATAAAGTGGATTTTTTTCTCTCTTACAAAGCTATCCTTTCAGTGCATTAGTTTTATTAACCACAGAGGGACAAATTACATATGTTTGCAGGCAAGTGTGGCCAGTCCATGACCACAAGCTCAGGAGTCCTGACAGGCTCTGGGCCTCATTCCCAAAACAGCCAGAGCTGAGCACTAGAAGGAGCTCCTTTCACATTGGCTCTGAGTACACACTTCACCTGTGTCCTAACTTGTTTGACACCCAGGTCTGGCCTTGCACCTGAGTCTCATCTTTCAGAAGTTGGCATGGAGCGAGGCTTTAGGAGTGGTTAAACAAACTTACAAATTTCCATTTCTGATATTTAGTAACTTGTGCCTCCCAATGAGACACACGGAAAGAGTTACATCCACTGACTTTTCCCCAAGATAAAAAATTTCCTCATCTACATTGTTTAAAATAAAGACCAATAGACAAGTGATATTTTGGACAATGCCTCCCATTCAGAAACTGAATTAAACAAAATATGGGGAGGCTTGACTTAGCCTCAAAGGAGGGAAACACAATTGGTGGCTAGAAATCCATGCTTCCTTAAAGAATAGTGGAATTTTGTTGTTGTTGTTGGTTGTGGGACTTGAACTCTGGGCCTGGGTGATGTCCCTTAGCTCTAGCACTCTACCACTTGAGCCACAGCGCCACTTCCAGTTTTGTGGTGGTTTTATTGGAGATAAGAGTCTCATGGACTTTCTTGCCTGGACTGGCTTTGAACCATGATCCTCAGATCTCAGCCTCCTGAATAGTTAGGATTACAGGCATAAGCTACCACTGCCCAAGCTGGATTTTCAATTTTTTTTGGGGTCAGTTGTGGGGCTTGAACTCTGGGCCTGGATGCTGTCCCTCAGCTCTTCAGCTCAAGGCTTGTGCTCTAGTGCCTGAGCCACAGTGCCACTTCCGGTTGTCTGAGTGGTTTATTGGAGATAGAGTCTGGGGAGGGGGAGAGGGAGGGGGAAGAGGAAGAGTCTCACAGCCTTTCCTGCCCTTGCTTTGAAATGAGATCCTTGGATCTCAGCCTCCTGAGTAGCTAGGATTGCAGGCCAGCACCTGGCCTGGGTTGGATTTTCAAAAAGCACTATCACCCAGGATCCAGTGACTCAGGCCTGTAATCCTATTTACTCAAGAGGCTGAGATGTGAGGATCCCAGTTCAAAGCCAGCCAGGGCAGAAAAGTACTCATGAGACTCTTATCTCCAATTAACCACTCAAAAACTGGAGGTGGTACTGTGACTCAAAGCTAGCCTTAAGCCAAAGAGCTCAAGGACAGTGCCCAAGCCCCCAGGAACAACAACAAAAATAGCTCTGTATCTGTGGAGGCTCTGGTAGTCCTTGCAATAGATTTGTGTCACTTACCCCTCAAATGCTAGGGAGAAACTGAGTCAGTAGAGAACAGCTCAGAAATGCCACCCTGAGCCCACCTATGAAGTTTTCCACCTCTCATGGGTCTGTTTTGCCCTGGAAACTTCCCTACCTATCTTCCCCTTAATAACTAATTCACTTCTTCTCATCTGTGAAATGAAGCAAATTCCTATTGCAGTCTTCAGCCAGGCCCAGCCAGGTCTCTAGGAACTATAACTTAAACATATATTTATACAGCGTCTTATGGCATTTCCTTCTTTTCCCCCCTGAAACTTGAACTCAGGGCCTGGGCACTGTCCCTCAGCTCTTCAGCTCAAGGGGAGTGCTCTACCACTTGAACCACAGCAACACTTCTGGCTTTTTCTGCTTACGTAGTGCTGAGGAATGGAACACAGGGCCTCATGCATGCAAGATGAGCACTCTACACTGAGCCACCTTCCCAGCCCCTCAACCTTGTCTTTAGACTTTCAAAGGCAAGAGCTAAGGGAAGCCATCAGCCAGAGCCTCCTGACCCCACGGCAGATTCCTCTTTAGGCTCCAAGCTTGGAAAAGATGAGTTGGCACTGAGCATTCAAAACACCCTTAAAAAAATGGTCCCTTCCTTGGAGGAAAAGTGTGTAGTCAAGTATCAACTTTAGCAAGTTTGGGCTCCTGGAGCAAGCATCTGCCCTGTTGTTTTGGAAATGAAAAGAAAGTCTAGCTTAAGGTTTTAAAAATGGCTTTCTGTAGTCTTTCTCCACAGATTTTCACACCATATGATATTGCCTAGCCTGTGTTTTCCAGGTAAAATTGAGGCTTGACTGTAGGGGATGAACTCTTTCTAGACCAAGGCTGAAAACTTACTCCACACTTTATAGCAAATCAATGCATTAGAGCCGATTCCCAGGGGGGTGGAGTTACAAGCTGGGGATGCCAAATTGCCTTTGGAGGAGGGACCCTGATGAGACAAGGAAATGCTGAGAGGCAAGACTGTGGTTGGTCAGAATGAGCGTTGGTGCCTGTAATCCTAGCTACTCAGGAGGCTGAGATCTGAGGATCTTGGTTCAAAGCCAGCCCAGGCAAGAAATTTCCATGAGACCCTTATCTCCAATTAATCACCAGAAAATCAGAAGTGGAGCTGTGGCTCAAAGTGGTAGAGCATTAGCTTTCAGCAGAAAAAGCTCAGGGCTGCCGGGCACTGGTGGCTCATGCCTGTAATTCTAGCTGCTCAGGAGGCTGAAATCTGAGAGTCACAGTTCAAAGCCAGCCCCAGCAGGAAAGTCCATGAGATTCTTATCTCCAATAAACCACTAGAAAACCGGAAGTGGCCCTGTGGCTCAAGCGGTAGAGTTCTCTCCTTGAGCTGAAGAACTGAGCGACAGCGTCCAGGCCCAGAGTTCAAGCCCCATAACTGACAGAAAAAGAAAGAAAAGGAAAGAAAAAGCTCAGGGCCAGTGCCGAGGCCATGAGTTCAAGCCCCACTACCACAAGTATGATGGTCTTTCTGATATATGCCAATTTGGCTAGGCTTTATAGCCCAGTTTATCCATCAAATAGGAACCTAGGAATTGTAGGGCAGGTTCATAATGACTTCATTCTAAGTAAAGAAAATGCTCCTAGATAATCTCAAGTGACTGATTTTAATCAGTTGGGAAACCTCCAGAGCAGAGTTGAAGTTTCCTTGAGGAAAGAAATTCTATCTCTGGTCTCCTATATCTGCATGCCTGTCTGCCTTGCCTGAGGGCCTGCCTGGTGGGCTTTGATTTTCCTAGGCAGAAAACCAAGATCACACAAGCCACTACTTTGCAATAATTTATTTAATTGAATCAAATAATTTAAAATATTTTCTCGAAATTCTAATTATCTTGTTAAACACTGACTGATAGGGAGGGAAGAAGGGAGTAAGGGATGGAGGGGAGGATGGAAAGGAAGGAAAAAAGAACGAGAAATGGTCTGGGTGATCTGTTGGGCCCACCTCCAGTTTCAGCCCTCATTAGTGGCATCTTCTCCCTCCACCCCACCCCCTTTCCACAGCACTCTACTACCTGAGCCACAGCACCACTTCTGGCTTTTTCTGTTTATGTGGCACTTAGGAATTGAACCCAGTGCTTCATGCATGCTAGGCAAGCACTCTACCACTAAGCCACATTCCCAGCCCCTCTCCTGGAGTTTCCTGACCAGGATGGCTTTGAACCTTGATCCTCAGATTTCAGCCTCCAGAGTAACTACAGGCGTGAACCACTGATACGCACCCATTTTATCATTCTCTAGACTGGACTTTGTCTCTGTCTCATTGGACTTTCTGGACATCACATTCTACCCTGCAGTCCAGCTCCCTCCTCTGACTCAATCTAACTGCTCATCACCCTTCAGGACTCTGCTAGGCCATTCCTCAGTCCAGCACCCAACACTCAGTACCCTACATCCTGCACTGTGAGCTTCAGGCAGTTGACCTTCAATCTAGAGTTGCTGCCTTTCCATCAAATGAATAGTTAGATTTTTTCTTTTTTTATTGTGAAAATACTGTACAGAGGGTTACAATTACACGGGCAAGATAATGAGTACATTTCTTATCAAGCAAATAGTTACATTTTTGTAGCTTATTTGCCTTCTGTTTCCATATCTTCTCCTTTCAAAGAATCCTATTTGGCTGAGAAGGTGGTTCAGTGGTAGAGTGCTTGCCTTGCATGCATGAGACCCTGGATTCCATTTCTCAGCACCACATAAGCAGAAAAAGCTGGAAGTAGTGCTGGGGTTCAAGTGGTAGAGCACTAGCCTTGAGCTGAAATGCTGAGAGACAGTACCCAAGCCCACAGTTCAGGCCCCATGACCGACCAAAATAAATTAATAAAGAAAGAAAGAATCCTACAGAAGCATTTTTTTTCTAAACAAACCCATATGAGACATTCATTTAGAGAGTTACATGTGTGGCACTACAGGCTCATTATCAGACATCAAATCCCATTTCCTCATTCAAATAAAATAAAAACACTGCATTTTTCCTTCTTCCTTCCTCCCTTCCTCGCCCTCCCTTCCTCCTCCTCCTTCTTTTTTCCCCTCTAGCCTGCTTCATGCTGTGATAGGTTAAAAATGACCATGTAAAATGG